CCTTCCAAAGCCACGCCCCCCAAAACACATGAACGCGTGACTCCAACCGCTGAGCTAAAGACGCATTATTTACCTGAGACGAGCGGAGAGGAAGGAGCGCAGTGCATGTAGTGACATCATGTCAGATTCACATGTAATAAAAAAATCGAAGTTTATCATTATGAAGATAAACAAATAAGATGTATTTTACTCTATCAAGCTAGCAAGTTTAAAATATATATTTATTGATTCGCTAACGAGCTAGTTATTTATAAGGCAAAGCAGGTTGCATGATACACGTTTTTCCATTGCCATTATTTACACTGTGATGAAGATGAATTTTGTGTGAGATTCATAACATATACATATATGGTGTTCGGCATGTAAGAGTGTCCATGATGAAAGCATTGTTGACTCTGATGAGGACTACTCCAGAGACAAGATCTCATGAAATGCCGTATGTATGACATGCCAATTCGTATTTCCATTTTTGGTGTGCTATCAACGCGCATAATAGCTTTTCAGCGTGTTTATGAACACCGTTAACTTTACATTACTGTTGCATTGTTGACATTCTACATACGGTTACATTACTGTATATATAAATCTATGACCTACCCCAATCCCCTTCCCTAAACCTAAAAAAAAAATATCGCTCCCCAGATGTAGATCCAGAGTCGGCGCCAGAGCACATCTACTGGAGGGGCATTGGGTCATCAGCGGGGGGCGGGGCACTGTACTGCCGTTTAAGAAATATTTTGACGCAGAAAAAAAGAAACACCTTTTATTATTATAATTATTATTTATAATTATTATTTGCGAATTTCCCAACCACTTTTTGCCAGGGTCGATGTTGTCCCAGCACTTTTATACATCTCATGGGACGGATGTACCAATACAAATAAATAAAACATATCCGGTTAACTAGCAGAGCATTCATTTGTTAAAGAGCCCCTATCATAGCATTTGAAATGTTCCTATTTTTGTTTTGGGAGTTCCCAAAAACAGTTTAACGTGCATGCAAAGATAAAAAACACTTTATTTGTCTTATAATACGCATTTATTTTTACCTGATTTGCTTAACGACTCCCAAATGATTCGTTCGACGATTCATTTTCCCAAACACCTCCTTTGAGTGACGCGAATCTGCGGCGATTGGTCAAATGACCCAGTCAGTTGTTATTGGTAAACCGTAGGCAGAGATTGCCGGAAACGGAACACCCATCACCATTAATGGATTATAGCTTGTCAAGTGTTGTATACAGTGTATGAACAAACGTGTCAGAAAAAGTGCACTTTTTCCACACGGTCCCTTACTCGCATCTCCCGTAACTCGGGGGTTAGAACCCGAATCTCTTGCATGCCAGTCTAAATTTCTGCCACTGGACCAATAAAGCACTTACAATAAAATGTCGGATTGGATATATCTATTTCTTCACGTGAAAATTCTCTGCACCAACGCATATTAGATCCAATTAGAAAACAAATTAAACACAATGTACTATTTAAATAGATTGCTGGACATTTGGTATTGTATATTCTACATCTGATTTATGATTTAGCATTGAATTAGAAACTGTGGTAGGAGGGGCATCAATGAGCGCTAGGGGGGGCACGGCCCTCGAATGCCCCACCATAGCGCCGATCCTGTGTAGATCTACATTTTGCTTCGTTTCGCTCGGACATTTAACGGCATAGACATACACGCCACTTGACTTGAAAGTGACGTGTATGTTTATGCAAAAGTCATGATGTCATGTTACCGCATCGTCAGCTCGAGGACAGATCCGGGGTCGAGGGCGAAGCAGAGGAGGTCGTGCAAAAGGCGTGAAAATTGGCTGAATGGATTTGAAAATTGTAAAACTCAACTGTTTAACTCTGGGGGAGTTGTAAAATGAGCCTATTTCCAAAAAAGTGGAGTATCCCTTTAACCTGAAAAATGTTAGTGTAACTGGAACATGAATTTACATAAAAAACAGTGAGGATCCCTATCAGTGTTTCCTCATTTCATGGATAATGCAAATTATGTACCAGAAACCCGTTCATGGTAGTCAAAACAGTTGGGTTTTACTGTTTTCGAATCCATTCAGCCGATTTTCTGATATTTAGAAGAATATCAGCAGCCAGATAGTTTCTGGTCTCATTGACTACCATAGTAGGAAAAAATATATACTATGGTAGTCAATGAGACCAGAAACTGTCTGGTTACCGATATTCTTCTAAATATCAGAAATTCGGCTGAATGGATTCGAAAACGGTAAAACCAACTGTTTAACTCTGGGGGAGTTGTAAAATGAGCCTATTTCCAAAAACCTGTAAAATGTTAAGTCTAACTGGGACATGAATTTACAAAAAAACAAACAAAACAAAACAAAAAAAACCGTGATGATCTCTATCAGTGTTTCCTCATTTCATGGATAATGTAAATTCATTTTCCACAGCCATTGCTTTAGCTTGTGCTGTAGAAACCTCATCTATTTTCAGGATTCTTTGATAACCAGAAAGAGTATCAGAAAAGTATACATTTCTAAAAAGTCATGTACCAGAAACCCGTTCAAAAACACCCATTGACTTCAGGACGATGGAACTGGAAGTGCTAAAATGTTAAAGATGATTTTGCCTTGACTTTAAAATCACAATGTTGTGAAAAGTTGTGACAGACCTTTTCTTCCATATTGTTACGTACATCTGATTGAAACAAATTAAAAGAAATCAAATGCGGGGCTTAGATTTATGTATCGGCTGGTGATTAAATGGATGTAAATCTGCTGAATACAAGTTTGCAAGGGAGAAGCCCTGCTTACACCCCTAGATAGAAGTCTGTAATTTCACCGGATGATTGAGTTATGGGTAATTAAATAGGGCGAATTTTTTAATGTGTATGCTTAACATTGCCATGGTAGCATAACTTTGTTTGCCCAAGTGATGATAAACAGGAAACTTGCCTCCTCCTAACACATTGAGAATCTTCCTGTTTGAGAAGATAGTCTTCACACTTGCATGTTTGAGCCATTGTTACTGTGGAAGCAGCAGCACATTGCAAACACAAGGCACAGGTGTTTCACGGTGACATGTGGACAAACCATTAGTACCACGACAAACCATAGCAACCTAAATAACACTTGAAGCGGAACTGCACCCTGTAAGAACATTAAATAACACCTGTACTGTCCTTGATACACGTATTATGGAAATATGAGTAAACATTCAGACATTAAAATACAGCTTTATACGCACAGCTTAATAAATCAGGCGGTGAGAGGAGTGTAAGCATAATCTTACGCCAACGCATACGCCCGTTTCTACGCAAGAATGATAAATGAGGGCCAATGTGTATTTCTGATATATTTTAAGTCATTAAAACAAAATGTGAAAATATCTTGAGCTTGTGTTAACCACAGACCTTATTTATTACATTTAAAACCCATTAATGTTTTGTAAGTCTTTACCTGGAAATGAGTTAGCATGTTAGCACTTCCGAACTGGAATTGCTAAAATGCTTACTCATTTCCCGTTTAAGGCCACCAAACATATGTCATTCCTTACCATATGTCATGATTTGACTGCAAGTAACCACCTAGCAACCACACAGAACACCTTAACAACTCAACAGCCCAGAAATTCTTAACATTTTGTCATTTAGTATTGCACCACTCACATTTTCTGTCTCATTGCCACCAAAATGAAGTCTGGTTACTTTTTCTTTTCTTTTTAAAATTCTTTTAATGTTTCGTTAGATTAAACATTTTGAGCATGTTGAAATCTTAAGGTCAAACTGTATATATACTTGCTTTTTTTATCGTTCTTTAAAAAAAAAAAAACATAGTCATAGATTAAATGATAGTCTTGAGGAAGCAAACCTAGTAGTTGCTCTCAGTGTTTATTTGGATATTTTTGTTTCATGGCAGGTAGCAGGGTCAGCAAACGCGCGTATCATGTGTTTGACTTTAAGGGCTGAATGATTGCACATTCATAATATTTCTGTTCTCCCAAAGGTATTCTTATAATAGTTCTGTTTATAACCCTATAAGGACCTTGTCTACTGTGCTCTGCATGAATTGCGCTGTGTTTACAGTTTACACCCATGCCGTATTCCTCTCTTTTAGTCCTCACCACATGTTTTAGTAATCAAAGTTCAAAAAGCTTCACAAACTCTAGAGGGATGTGAGAAATTTAGAGCTCCACTGTTAACTGACACCTAGAGCAGATGGTGCGTTCAGATGAATTGTGGGTAGTGAACAGTAGTAGAACGCTTTGGTGATTTGGCAGCAAACATGGGTGACGTACTTGAGAGGAGAAATTTCCACACTATAAAGCCAAGACGTTTGGGAAAATAGTAAAGAAAACAACCATACACTGACTCTTTAAGAAGCTTTAAGTTACAGTATGGATAGCTTTCAGTTTATCATTGTTAATTCTAGTGTGGTTTTTGTTTTTTCATCTCACTTTATAAAGTTTTTATTTTAATTTTAAAATGTTATGGCTACGAAAGTTAGCTAACTGGTTTAATTCAAATTTCTTAGCACAGTTAAGTGTTATTCTGTCTAGTGGTATTTTCATGTTTAAAGTAGGCCATTTTTAATTGGTTTTTTTTTAACACCATAATGTTTAACTGATCTTCCAATGAAAATGTCAGACTTCTCTCTGGTGAACGCTGAACTTCTCCAATCAATCGAATCAGCTTAAACTCTTAATCCACAATTGACTGCAAAACTCACAAAATTCAATCAATAACCGGTGGATAGAACCAAGTCTTGCCCTAAAAATTGTTCTTTACGATAATCTGATTGACTCGGATGCATGTCACAATATGGAAGAATAGATATGCCACTAGTTCAGCTTCAGCGCGACTTTAACAATAGAAAAACAGGCTTTTTGTCTGCAGAATGGGGCCTAACTGCTAATGCTAACCAGCTAACTCTTGACTTCCTGCTCAAAACCATGTTCACGTCCTTACACTACACATTCTACACTGATGTGATCAAGTTTTTGAAACTTTCTGTCCGTCTGTTTTCTTGTAGCTCATCAGTTTCATCATCCTGATCTGTTACGCCGCATCGTCGTATGGAGGGTATACTGCTGTCGCCATCTGCGAGATGGTCTTTGCCATCATCTTCTTCATTGTCTTCATGTTGGAGCTGAACAAACAGTTCGTGGTGGTCAACTGGCTCTGGAGCGTAAGTATGAATGCACACACACTTGCATCACGGTCCACCCTGGCATTGTGTTGGCGCGTTTTTCACGTTTTTCATTCGCATTTTCTCTGTTTGCCCCGCCAGGATCTGTTCCGCGCTGCAGTCGGTGCAGCGCTTTATCTCATCACCTCTCTCATCTGTGTGATTGGTGGAACTGGGGATGGGGCTCGCATCGCTGGTGGGGTGAGACATCCAATGCTCAGCATCAAAACATACCATTCTTTCATCTTTATGAACAAATCTGATTTGTTAGGGCTATATATCCATCACTCTGCTCTTCTGAGTCTGACAGCTGTTTATAACAAAGCTCACCTTCTCTCTCATAGGTGTTCGGTCTACTGGCTGGGATCTTGTTTGCTTATGATTCCTACACAATCTTCTTGGAACTCAAGAGCAGCAGACAGCATGCAGCTGCTACCACAGGTGCATGAACACACTCATTCATTTATTTAACATGTCAGAAAGTACAAAACGGTATTTAGACACTTAAACCACTTTTAAAGGGGTCATGACATGGATTTTAAAATGATTTTAATTTGTTCCTTGAAGTTCACTTATACTTTTGCACACACACCAAAAAAAATCAATATAAATATAAATATGCAAAAAAAAAAAAAATCATTTTCAGCCTCTGTCTGAAATGATCCGTTTTTAAGAAGCGGCTCCTTTAAGGCTTGCCAGCAAACGCCCACTGTTATCATTGCATAGGAAACAGTATCAACGCCCACTCGTTATTGGATGTAAGTACTTTGAAAACAACCACTTAAAGGGATAGTTCACTTTAAAATTAAGTTTTGGTATGTTTTAGCTTACCTCAAGGGCATCCAAGATGTAGGTGTCTTTGTTTCCACAGTATTTTCAATTTTTATATTTTTTTAAGTCAAACTGTTCTTGTCTGTCAGTGATATAATGCAGGTCTATGGTCACCACCTAAAAGAGCATGCACAGAGAAGTCCAAATTAAACATGATTCACATTGATGCCCTAAGACATGAAACGAGCGGTTTGTGTGAGAAAACGAACAGTATTTATATCGTTTCTACCTCTTGTAACCACAGCCATGTCCAAGTTATCTGAGGGCGAAGGCGCTTTGGTCTGCGCAAGCGCCAGAAGTGATCTCTCGCATGTGTACGTCACTCATTGTTTACACAAAGATTTCAGTTATCCTGTTATCCTTCACTGTGAAGATCGAAACATATTCAGATATACAGGAAATCGCAATGGAAGACGATTTCGATATATCAACGAATTTTTTTCCTAACCACGTGAGAGATCGCTTCCGGCGCTTTCCAGCTCTTGCGCAGACCGAAGCGCCCGCACCCTCAGATCACTTGGACGTGGCTGTGGTTACAAGAGGTAAAAACGATATAAATACTGTTCGTTTTCTCACACAAACCGCTCGTTTCGTGTCTTAGGCCATCAATGTGTACTTACATTTACGAGTCACTAAATCATGTTTTATTTGGACTTCTCTGTGCATGCTTTTTGAGGTGGTGACCATAGACAAGAACGGTTTGACTTAAAAATATCAAAATTGAAAATACTGTGGAAACAAAGACACCTACATCTTGGATGCCCTTGAGGTAAGCTAAAACATACCAAAAATGAATTTCAAAGTGAACTATCCCTTTAATACCATCATTTACAGACAAAGCATTAATCATTTCCGTATGCTTTGTGATGCATCTGCTGTCAGATCAGTTGCTGCTTCATCTGTCAACAAAAGTTTCTTTGCGAACTCTCCATTATTCTGAGCCTTGTTTACAAAACAAAATGCTCCGAACATACATATAAAATCCAGGACGCCATTAAAATACACCATTCACTTATTTCCTTTCACTGAGATCCTTTACAGAGACACAAACCAGCTGTTTAAACTGGACGCGTCAAACAAACGTTCTTTCACTCTTCCATTTGTCCTGTTGTCGGCAGACTCAAGCACGTCGAGCATGTCAGAAACATGTATCCAGTGTAGACAGTGATTATAATGGGTTATTTTACTTTTGACACGATTTGACGCTCACATCCAGTGTAGGGAAATGTCAGCCACTAATAAGCGACTGAATGCCAGTGGGCGGGGCCTATGGTGCGATGATGTGTAACTATTCGGCAATGTCTTGCTGTGGTGGCAGTGATATGTAAATGTATTTACGTGTGACGTCACCGATCCCGCAATATTACGAGCTGTGTTTGCGCTTGATTAATAAATGCTTTGTTTAAAATGAGTAGGATGGTTTAAGCTATGAAACCTGCAGGATTTTTTAATGTGACAAAGACCTCTTATATATGGATTTCACATGTCATGACCCCTTTAAAAGTCATTACATTAGACAAAATATCAAACTAAGTGTCATCAAATGCTGCAGTATCATTCAGTTGAGGGACAGAAATCTCATGAAAGATATCATGATCTGTGTTTTTTTAAAGATGAACTTTTATAGATAATTTATCTATAGATAATCTTATAGATAAATGTTTAAAGGGTTTTGAATGACATTTTGGTTTTTAAATCTGTTCTCCCAGCAGCCTTTATTCCAGTTGAAGGCCGAGGTTTAAGCCTCTCCCTAGGTTTGAACTAAAGGTGACACATGTTGTAACTCTCTTTGAACAGGTCGCTGAAGGCTTCTGTGGGATGTTTACAACTGACATTTGGCATTTGAGCCAAACAGTTATAGACGCCAGTGGCAACACTGGTTTCTAACCTAAAGCTATGCCGTTTTACATGTCCGCTCTTCGTTTCGTGTATAACTATAACAACTTAACCTAACTAACTATTCCCCAGTTATTTATTTTGCGTCTCCCTTTTTGTTTTCTCTTTGCTTTCTTAACAGATGACGCAGTTTGAAAGCTACTTTCCTCACTACAACATTAACAGCAAACCAAAACATGGAGAACGATTCTAAAAATGGCAAAAGAAGGGAATTCCTGAGAGTTATCGCAAAGTTACCATGACAGATGAAGACCAGAGGAATGCAAAAGGGTTGGAAGCATTGCACAGCACAAAAGGGAACTGTAAGATTAATGAACAGCTGTTAAAGAAGCCACAATTTATGAAGCAACAGAAAGCTGTTGGCATCCAAAGAGTCAGTACTATCGTTCTGGTTAGGAGGCTTTTGTTACCACAAATAGTTTGTCAGATTGGTTGGTTACTATTACAATTTAGTATGAGATGGGGCTAATAAACATGTCAGATAAAACTGCCTGCTGCAAAACTATTATCAAAAGAGTCGTCTTCCAATTCTTTACTAGAGAAAGGTCCAGTGAAGTCATTTTATTATTATTATTATTATTATTATTACGTTGTGTTGGAAAACTGGATCCAATTCAGTCTGGTGCTGTTGTGTTTTTTTGTTTTTCTTTTTTATCTGAAGAAACATTAAAGCTTAAGCTTTTTATGGTGTAAAACTTCACCATATCTTGTAATTCTTGTGGGTTTTTTTGTCTAAAATAAGTTAATTGTCTTATAATAATTATAATATAATAATAATAAGTTAGTTTTTAGTGATTTCAAACAGGATTTGTATCAGTAACATGCTCAGGTGCATCCAGTCTAGAAAAAATCAGTTTTCAGTCAATTTAAAGGGATTTTCTAATTGAAAAGGACCCTAATATCTTCTAAGGTGGTACAAATTTTTACTTTAACAAGTATTAGGGGTGTAACAATATATCGTATCACAACATATAACAATGCAACAATATGTATCGAAGTAACCTGGTTGCCTTAAAATTTTAAGTTGATTGAACTGGAAAAAGTGAGTTAATACAATGAAGGAGATTGATTTAATCATCAGAAACTTAAAATATTAAGTTATCTGAACTAAATAAATTATTTAAGTCGATTTGACAAAAGAAAAAATGTTGTGATAACAAATCTTAAAAAATATTTTTTTTTACAGTGTGAGGGTAACGTTACACCCCTAGTTTGTCGAATATGTTCATTTTTATTCATCTTTCTTACATTTTGACATTTAACTGGTTACCTCAAAGGTTGCTCACTATCTCAATGCCACAAGTGTTCTCTTTTTAATTCTAATAATAAACCGATTCCATTCAACCCTATTGATGTAAGAAATACTAAAACAGCTTTCACAGTTTGTCATCATTTTCAGGAAATAATAAGAAATGATTGTTTTTGACGTGCCTTGAAAGAGATCATTGAGGAGTATTTGGACTGCCAGCTTTTTCAGTGCTTCTATGTAGTTGGTCGTCTTCATGCTTAGATAAGCAGCACTTCTGAAACAGGAAACTGTCATTCTCACCTAACACCTGATTGTTGTAATGGCATATGCACAACAGTTATATTACTGTAAACAAGGAGTTTGTCTAAGTCAGAGATTCATGAATCTTCCATTTTTGTAAAACCATAATCTAGAGTGTAAGCAAGTGTTTTATCTTTACCATTTATAGCATGTATCAAGTGTTGTAACCATTTTAATTTATAAATTTGGATTTATGAAGACTGTTTGCCTGTTTCCTCTCATGTCTATTTGTTTTTTTGCAGCCTCAGCTCTGACTGCCTGACAGCATTTATTTGTGAGATGGTCAGAAATGCCATCAGTTTTGTAAAAAAAAAAAAAAAAAAAAAAGATTAACTCAGGATGTTCTGCTCTTTTAAAACGTATTTTTAGACCTTTTTTCTTCGCATGTTTTTTGTTCCCGGAATAAATAATTCTGCAGGATTAAAGTCTCTGTATAAATTGGTGTTGCTGGTATTTTTGGAGTTTTTAACATTCAATAAAAGGCTGTTATAACGTATTCAACTTTTACAAATGTGTGTGTACCCTTTCATTTGAATGAAGACGAGTGAAGTGAGTGAAGAATACTGTGCGCACAGCGCCACCTGCTGGAGTGTATACATTTGCTACACAAATTTACTTTAAATATAAAAATGAGAGAGAATGATTTAAAAGAAAAGAAGAATTCACTATATTCAATGATAGACAGCTATTGGAGAAAATGTGACAAATTTGTGTCACTAGATGGCAGCATTTACGTATAATCATTGAAATACTGAGGAGTTTACTGTAGGCTTTGCTTGCAAGGTAAAGAGACCAATATGTTTGGTAAAGACTTGTGAAAATGCTATTCATTTTATGGGGGGATAGCTTAAAAGATAGCTTAAAAATATATGCTACAATACCGTTCAGAAGTTAAGAATGATGATTTTATTTATTTGTTTGTGAAGCAATACATTTGGATTCAAGGATCATGTAACAGTAGACATGAGTACTTGATGATAAAAAAATTATTTTTTAAATATAAAAATTCATAGAATACATATAGAACATTATTTTAAAGAGTAATAAAAAAAGTAGATAGATAGATAGATAGATAGATAGATAGATAGATAGATAGATAGATAGATAGATAGATAGATAGATAGATAGATAGATAGATAGACAACAACAGATGAGTAGGCGGCTGTAGGCCTATGAATAAAACTGAATAGCCTAACAAACCCTAATCACACTTTACACCACTACACACAATATACGTATTTATAATAGCTAAAACTAGTCAAAAACAAATACGCTAAGGGGTTTTCATTGAGAAACAGAATGTTTTTGTGATGGGAGTCTGAGGTACAGTAGGGGGTGGTCCTGACTCCTGAATCCTGATACACTACAGTTAAACACTTGTCCTGTAGGTGTAGCCCGTCTGGTTACACGCTCTTACGGGCAACTTCTGGAGGAGTTGTTACCAGCACACAGAGATCTACAGGCCAAAAACCAGACCCTCGGACCCTCGAGACGAGCGAGAAGAAGTCACGTTAGGTTCAAGGAAACTTCAGCGGACACATGAGAATGCGCGCGTGAATCGCCACAGCCGCCGACATGTTCACGCGCGGATCAAAAAAGCGACGCTCCAATCGCTCGGTAAGTCGCTCTCGTGTCGTGGCATCCCGCTTTTAACATTATCTAAAGGCATTTGATTCTTTTCTACAGTCTGTCCTCAGGTATTTGAATGAACGCAGTGTGGTTTGGTGTTTTAAATGTCATTTTAAACCTATCGTGCTGCTTTGATGGTCGAAAGTTACTTTCGTGTCACCCACTTATTTACCTGAGGAGACTGCTTTCATCGGGCATGGAGTAGCCGATAGGTTTCATGTTATAACTTAACTTGCACTCCTATATTTACTTTTAATTGTATCCTCTGTAAGTTTTGCATATAGCCTATAGTTATCAGTCATTGTTTTACCTTTAATCATTAATGTGACATATTTTTTTTGTGATAATGTTAACTGTTGCATTTTGGAGGCGTGGCTTCTTTGTGCCTACGTCACCGTTACCTGTGCAGGTGACGACATCGTTTGAGGAGACCGTTTCATAATAATACACGTTTTAGAATGTCAATTTATTACACTGAATTTACCCAAATAATGTGTTTAGTTTGTCTAAAACAACAAATGAGGTCTAATCCAAACTTATACTTGAAATGTTATTTAAGTCTACAAGAATTATAGCACGGATTCATTTCACAATCTTGAATTTTATGTGTCATATTCTACAGTTAAGAATATTACAAAAACGTTAGCCCGTACCTAGCGTCAGTAAGCAATGCTTCATGTTAAGCTTTGTAATGTGTTGTTTTCCTTTCTGAAGGTAGTACTTAGCTTACCATTGAGGAAACATTCCTTAAATGTCCGGGACAAAAAGTAAACACAACCTAAAAACATCAGGACATGCTTAGGCCAATATTCATTGAAGATGCTAATTGGATTAGAATATTAAATAGATTAGAACAGGAAACTCTTTGTTTCCTGAAGCGGCTCTCTGTAATGTTTTGATTCAGACCTGTACCAGATGGTCTTAATGGTGAAATAACGCATCTTAAAATGAAATTTTGTCCTATTAAATTTGACCAGGATTCACAAGCAAGTTTCTTTGACACTCAGCCAGTGTTTTCTTTTCTCAAACACCCCCTTGTAAGTGTCTTACTAGTTGTAATGTCCTACTCGGAACAGACCACTGATCTGAGCATGAGGAAACAATGATGGTGGGCCTTTAAAAAAGCGGCTTTTAAAAGCTTTTGACCTCTTGTAACTGTTGTCATGGTCACAATCGAGAGGAAATTTCCCCTGAGGGTGTGGACAGGAAGACACCCAGAGAGCTTCCTGTCTCACCGTGAGAGACGGGACATAAAACCGCCAGGTCATCGTATGTTTCTCCACATAGTGTGTACACGTCATAGTTTGTTTTGATTTATTCTTTTTCACGTTATCTTTTCTCTGCAAATGTAATCTGCACAATAACCTTTGAGATAACTCTGCTAAACTAAGTCATTGTTTTGTCTTTATGAAAGTATTTTTTGGACGTTCGTTGCCCTCCTTGCATGCTTTACTGTTACGTTCCGTGCTTCCTTTACTTGCATTTTTATCCTTTTCTTTGCATTTCACACAGAACGCATTTTTCCGCTGCTCTTTCCCATTGTTTTTTAATGTAAACGTTCAGTTTTGCAGCATCTTGCGCATGACACGGCATTCTAAAAAAGCTAGTTTTAAAGTTAAAATAAGTTTATTTTTAGTAGCCCTTGTGTTACTAGCACTTACGTGCATCACTTTCATTTCATTACATTAATCACTTTCCTTACTTAATAATGCGTTGCTTTTAGCACTTTTATGATTACCTACCTTATATTACTTTTTTGTTCTTTACTTTTCTTTACTTTCCATACTTGCATATTTAAAAAAATTAAGTAACCTGGTTGCCTTAAAATTTCAAGTTGATTGAACTGGAAAAAGTGAGTTAATGCAATGAAGGAGATTGATTTAATCATCAGAAACTCAAAATAATAAGTTATCTGAACTAAATAAATTATTTAAGTTGATTTGACAAAAGAAAAAATGTTGTGATAACAGATCTTGAAAATATTTTTTTACAGTGTTCCAAATTTGTGTTTTGTGCTAGGGTAGGGAATTGAAAATCGATTTCTATTCTGGAATCGAATACTTGAGGTCAGGATTCAGATAGTTGTTATAAAGTTAAAATTTCGATTCCTCGCTTTGTGAGCATTTCGATGTGATTTTAAACCAACCATTCATTTAATTACTAAGTGTTTGTCTTCCATAATGCTTGAAATGTATATTAGTTAGACTCGGCTAGTTGTTTTTCTATGGTATTTTTAGACCACAGGTAATCCTTGTGTTCCTTCCTTGTTCTTTAGCCTGTTGATTTTTGTTCTTGATATTTAGTTACAATTAAATGTTTTGGAATCAGACTAAATGTGAACGATATCTAAGGTTTTAGTTTCTTTATCTTATTGGAATCGGAATTGTTAAAATTCAAATGGTACCCAACCTTAGTTCTTGCTTTAGCTATAATAGAACAAATTACCTTCTTTAATAACCATACTGTAGGTTTGCTTTTTTCCTTGTGTTTCTTTTAGTACGTTTGTTACTTTCCTTATTTGCATTACTTTGGGAATTTTGGTTATTTTCAGTTCTTGAGTTACTTTAGGGCTTTTCACACATTAAATGGTTAACCCTGGGTCATTCTGAACTGCAGGTAAACAGAATTATCTTGCTTTATGTTTCACACTGCTCATAAAATACCCGGGGTTAACAATTAATCCTTGGTATTCATAAACTGACTTTTCACATTGTACATTCCTAAATCCCAGGTTAACGATCTTATTTGCATATTTGCGGGGTCATGAACGCAGCACGCGACCATTCCTCTCGCATTGCGTATCCTCTTATTGCTGACAATACTATTGAGTTCATGTGATTGGATGCTTGCTTACTTTGGACTGTAAGAATTAATAAAACAGTCTCTTATTTTATAAAAAATTGACACGTTTTCTGTCAGTATTTGATATTTTTCCTCTCAAATGCTGAATTTACTGTTTATATAAAATGCACAATGTTTCCGTGACTGTACAAAGCACGCAAATATGTAGGCGATTGGTTATCGGTTAGTAAGCGTTTAGCTTTAACGTTCTAACACCGCAACGTTTCACACTGTACAAGTTTGGCACCGCATTGCGTGGTCAAAGACTAATTTATACTTCTGCATCGAACTCATGCCGTTTCTATGTCGTAGGCGTAATGTTACAAAACGTTTTTCTACGCGGACCACAAGCGCCGTGATTTCGTAGCCTACAGTGTAGAGCAGTGTTTTCCAACCTTTCTTTGTCTGAGACCCCCTTTTTCCCAAGAAAATATTTTAGGGCCCCCCTAAAATTATCGGTCTTGCAAGCTTGCAGCAAGAATGACAAAACATGTTGTTTTTAAGCAAACGGTATGTTTACTTTAACCAGATATGTTTATGCACAAATAATAGCCTGTAATATTGAAAATACAATAACAAAAACATCGGTATAGGCCCTTTGTAATTTAAAAACTATAATGGCCTTATTTGAAATGCAAAAATTTTCACAGTATGTAGGTAAAAAAAATTAAGAATATACGCTATTACTAAATGACTGCTGTCTGGGGCCTCAATACTTGCAAGTTATTTGTGAGGCTTTATCAATTTGAGGTTTTATTTTTTATGTTTATGCTTTAGCCAGCGATAATAAACTTGCGTTTAGTAACATAATTATGCGTCTTTCAGAAGAACGAGTCACGCAGGCACTGGACTACTTTGCAGCAATCTGAACCAGTATAAAATAGTCCCAATGTAGTGGTTCAGGATAAGACAAAAACACGGATTGAAAAATGGATTCATGATGAACTTGCTCATTATATAAATTTATGTAAATTTTGGACAGAAAAAAAGTTATGGACTTTTATTTAATGCTCATTGCTCAAAGCATTTCAAAATATGACGCGACCCCCCACAAAGCTCGCTGAGGCCCCCTTAAGGCTGTGTGTCCGCCAAAGCATTTTTAGCCAGCTAAAAATGCTAGACGCTCTGGCGCTTGGGAGCGTTCTGGCAGCGCAGCGTTTTTTCCGTTGAGACGTTTCGTTGCTATGATACAGAATATCCGCAACACAGTTTACTTGTCACTGATTTTGCAGAAAATTTGTTTCATACTAAAAATTAATTTTTCATCCATTTTGTTCAGTTCGCTCTGGTTGATGCCGTTGTACAGAAAGAATGTTGTGACAGTTGGTCAGTGTGATTTAGTCCCGCCCCTCCTCCATTGTGATTGGACGGCTGGGTGCTCGGCGCTTCAGCGTGAAAAAAAAAACGTTCAGCGCCTCGTTAAGCTCATGCCGTTTAAAAAACACGGCGCTCCCATTGAAAACAATTGAAAACATACGCCAGGCCAGCCCATTCTCACCTAACTGACGCCTTGGGAAGCATTTTGACCATGCTTCAATATCTGACGCTTTTAGGCGTCCTTTAGCGTCAGTTAGATGATGCCCTAGGATCGCGTGTAACCCTACCCCCACCCCAGACCTAAACCTAACCGCGTCATCTAACTGACGTTTTCCTTGGGCGCCTAAAGCGTCAAATATTGAAGCATGGTCAAAGGTGACGCCTTGGGGTGAGAATGCGTTGGTCAGGTGCGTGGAAAAACGCTTTGGTGTACACACGGCCTAAGGTTTGGTGGACACACGACCTTTGGTGGACACACTTCCCAACTCGCGACCCCCCCTGTTGGGAACCGATGTAGAGGATACGGCGTTGGTCTGACGCAGTTAAAATCAGCTTTAAGAGCTCCGCAAGAGGGGGTTTCAATGGTTTCCTGTGTGAAAAGCATTACTAACCCCTAAGCGTTACTAACCCCTACTAACCTCTAAATTACAAGTGTGAAACGTTCGTTTACCCAGGGTTAAAAGCGGTGTTTAATACGACTATGATAAACAAGGGTTAAGTGCAGTGTGAAAAGCCCTTTTGGGTATTTCCCAAAAGTCTGTGTAACACTAACTGACTTTTGCTTTAGATTAAGTATATTGGACTGGGATAAATGTCACTGATATATATTTAATAATATAAATTTTATAAAAACAAAAAAACTAGGGCTGTGCAAAAGTTAATTGCGATTAATCGCATACAAAATAAAAGTCTGTTTTACATAATATATTTGAGTGTGCTGTATATAATTATTTTGTATATATAAATACCTATGCATGCATGTATATATTTAAGAATTATTTGCGCTTAAATTCTGTATATATATATAAATACATAATCTATATTATATAAATATAAATATTTTATATAGGAATAACACATTTTCTTAAACATATACATGCATGTGTGTGTATTTATATATACAAAATAATTATATACAGCACACACAAATATACTATGTAAACACAGACTTTTATTTTGGATGCGATTAATCGCAATTAGCTTTTGCACAGCCCTAAAAAAAACGTAATGTAATTCAAACCCACATTTATCCATAGATTGTTGTCTTATATACTGTACCTGCAATACAATGAAGCCTTCAGTTCTTTCAGTTCATAACAGTACATTAAAATCAAATTCATGAACACTACCAGCTTTGGACCTGAATGGCAGGTTACCCTACTAGTTTGATCCCAGATCTTAATTTGCGAATGTGGCAATTTTGTTTTTCTCTGAACTCTTGGTCTATCTACAGTTTTGTCTGTACAAGGCTTGTGAGATTTTTTTTCCCCTTCATTCCTTCCCCTTCCTTCTCTCCTATTCCTTCTTTCACACAGGCGAATGCAATTAACTATTCAGAGAAGAAAAAACACTCAAAGATCCTCTCTCTCTCTCTCTCTCTCTCTCTCTCTCTCTCTCTCTCTCTCTCTCTCTCTCTCTCTCTCTCTCTCTCTCTCTCTCTCTCTCTCTCTCTCAGCAGTGAATAGCAATGCTCTGGTCTCGGTTCAGTGAAGTGTTAGAGTTCACTGATCTTACAGGCAGTGTTTGTTTTAGCACGCGTGTTTCCATAGATCTCTCGTTCCTGACGACAAGAGGCCGCCGTCCGGCTGCAGTCCGGCTCTCCCTCACACCCGCTCATCCTGACGGCGCTTTCATAGTACACAAAGCTTATTAGTGTTTCTCGTTTGCATTAATCTTCACTAAGATCTTCAAATTGTGTTTAACAAAAGTCTATTCTTGTACCTCATTGTCACTGCATGTACTAACTTGATTTGGTAAATTAAGTGCCTAGTCTATTTTTGTACTAACCCACATGTGTAACAGGTTATCATTTCATGCTTCTACTTTGTTCTCAACACAGTGAAGGTATACTACATACTATAATATACACAACTTGATACCTATTTCTTTCAGTATGTAGCCTATCAGAAGAACAAAAAGCATCTAGCATGTTAAGACTCTGGGATCGCCCTCAGTGTGTGTGAGAGAGCAAACCAGGTGTTTGAGTTTTATGGCTGTTGTCTTGCCGTATATAGGCACGTCAAAGATTTCAAACACCCTAATCACGTCACTTGGAGGTTTTGAAGAACAAGTTCTCCGTTTTATTGCTTTATTTGTTCCCACAAACAAGCAGAAGACCTTGAGGCTAAACACAGCCTGAAGTGAAGTTGTAGAGTAGATAAATCTACTTCTGCTGCATTTCACCTTTGGTACTGTGTGTTTTGTTGGAGAAATTAGTGTTGGATTTCAGGCCTGGAGTAAGAACACACAGGGTCCTGGGTCTATAGCAAACACAAGGGCCCCCTTCATAGTAGCCTATCTTGGTGCCACAAGACTTTCTACCACAGGAAAAATGAGTATTTAAAGGGATACTTCAGGATTTAGCGTTAAGCTTTGTATTAGTAGAAAACCTGTAGTAATTTTGAATTACCGTGCTTTCCACACTCATATATCCCTGAGACGAGAGATTTATGTATTTTTTGTCTGGAAAAAACATCATTTTGCGTCATCTGAGGATTTTTTGTCCAGAGGCTAAAGACTACAGTCAGTAGTTGGGTCTGTCCCGCATGTTCTCAATCTCAACCTGCCCATAGAGGGAGATCTCACTCACAGAATGAACACACAGTGTCGGCCATCTTTTTTTGGAAGCTAAGCTAGCAGGTTCTTGTTCTGTGGAGAAAGCTGAGTAGTAGGGGTTACCATCCTCTTTTTCCTGGACATGTCCAGCCGTCGATGTCCGGGATTCAGCTTTTGCTTTCTGCTGTCGCCATTTATTGTTTACATGCACAGCTTTTGTTTCAATCTAACTGAATTCATTCCGATTGGTGAATCTGACTGTAGTGTTTACGTGAACGCTAAACAAGTGATCGGTTGATGTGTGTTTTAACATTGCTAAGAAATTCCCACTCCTCCGTGAGAGATACGAGACCGGTGCGTCTTACAGGTGTCGCTCATCGGTAATCACGCAACCGGCCTCGCGCCGTTCTCCCGCGGCCCTCACTCGTCCCGCTCGCCCCAGTAAACATGATGAATGGCGACTGTAGAACGCAAAAAACGAATCCCGGACATTTTGGCCGATCTTGAAATACATTTTCGGGCAGACTCATCTAGTGTTGTCACGGTACCAAAATTTTAGTATTCGGTACCAATACCAGTTAAAATTCACGGTTCTCGGTACCAATTTCGGTACCAAAGCTTAGTTTAAATCTACATATATTTAAGTGTTTATCACGGTTACAAGTATGGAAACTGTACATTTGTATTATAAACACTTTAGAAAAAGATTAGATAAAATGACCTAAAATAAACAATAGTATACACTAACACATTTTTAAAGTTGTTTGTAAAGTTTTAATCCATTATTTATTTAATGCACAATGAATTAAGTGAACAAACATGAACAATCAGGTGTTTGTAATAAATAACATTTTCAAACATTAATTAATGTTGTAAAAATATATTGTTCACTCAATGTGTTGATAACTAAGTAATGTTGATGAATGGTATCTTTGTAGCATTACCATAAAACATGTTTTATTTGACTTGACTGTCCTTTTATTTAATCTAAAACTGCATTCATATTTAATTTTAAAAAGGCTTTTTAAACCTGCTGAGTTATAAAGGCAAGAATACGCCTAGAACTGGCACTGACATTAAATGACAATACTAATACCAGTAGTACTCTGGTGTCGGGTGGATACTACTGTGCTCATGTACTCGTAAAACTACCCCGAAAGCACTTTAGAGGCCGTTCACATGTCGCGCGTGTTTTTTAATTATATTTTTGCGCGTGCTTATTCTTTCCAAAGCGCTTGCTCTCACGCGGCGTCTGTCGTTGCTATGCAACGCCAACGAGTTTTTATTATGAGCGCGCTTGAATCGCGCCTATATTTGAAATTGCGAATTTGCATGTAATCGGCCTCTTATGGCAACGTGACATTAGCCTAATCCAAAATATTTCCATATGTGGCTCTTTCCTCCTTTCGTTTCAACAAGTGGATTCAGAGAGAGAGAGAGCCATATCAGCGTTAAAGAGGACGCAACTGTGCACGTTTCAGACATCGCGTCTAGAACAGAACTGGATTAACCTGGTACTCGGTACCTAGAAAAGCTGGTACCGTAACATTTTTTTTTTTTTAGTACCGACTTGGTACCGAAGTACCGAGTTTTTTGACAACACTAGACTCATCATAGACACTCGCTAGAAGCCTAGACTTGTTGTTTAACCTCTGCGCTCTGATACCGGTAGGCGTGGCCTCCTAAGGCAGCGAAGCAAGTGCATCCTGGGAGTTGTTGTCTTTCATCCACATAAGCTAAAAATACATTTTCTGGCTTTTCTCAGTCTAGAAAGCTCCAAATTCAAAAATAATTTCACATTTCTTCTACATAAATGACCCATTTTAAATACACATTCATCTTTCTAGAGGTGAAGTATCCCTTTAAAAACAAATCAAATCTTCAACATACGAAGAGTGTCCACAACAATTATTCTACTGTAGATTTAGTGGACTAAAATATTGTATTTAGTCAACTAAAACTTAAAACAATTCAGATGACTAAAACATTACTAAACTAAATGACATTTTTGTTCAAATTTGCTGTCAAAATCAACAGTTTACATGGCTGAAGCTATTCAATCTGGTTATCACTTCTATAGAGAGGCAAACGCATCTACACCAGTCCAGCTGTTCTCACACTGCAACTGCTGGATGTATGTACGCTTTGATTAGACACAGCAGATTCATCTCTTGACTTTTGGTGTTTGTTTCTCATGCGCTCCAGTAAATACTAGAACTTAATATCCAGTTCTGGTGCTCCTGATGGCGAGTTAGGCTTCAACCCTGCTAATCCGGCCCTGTTGGACTCGCAGACCTAGAAACACAAATAATCTTATTTGGGATATTAAATGCGTCACCAGCACATGATATTTTAAAATAAATTACTAGCAACACCAATAAAAATAACCAAGTACTAAAAATACTATAATACTATAAAGTCGTTGTTAGATTTAAAAAAAAGTATGAACCATGCAACACTCTTCAAATAAAATGACCATAATTACCAAGAAAGTTTAATTGTGGTTACAATGTATTTGTTTAAAGGGATAGTTCTCCCAAAAATGAAAATATATTTTGAATTACTTTATTTTAAGATATTTTTTTTATACATGGGGGTGTTATGATTGTTATGATACAATGGATGTCAATGGTCACCAAAAAAATATTCTTCCCAACATCATCTCTTGTGTTTCACAGAATGTTTGAAACAACATAAATGAGTAAATGATGACAGAGTTTTGATGGTTTTTTGAGTGAACTCTCCCCTTGACATCCGAGTGAATTACCTGGTTGTTTTTAGTATGTTTTAGGTCAGAAAATACACGTCAAAGGACAATGTCAGCTGGACGCATATAGTATACCAGAGAATGTATTTGTACAACACACATGCATGCACTACCCAAAGAGGTACTTTCCTGTTATCCGGACCCCTCCATACCATTTCAGAACTATAGTCATCCCTGATTGGTCTTAACCCCAGTGACGGGTAGGTTTAGGGGCGGGGTTAGGGGTAGGCCATCGTCCCTGATTGGTCTTAACCCCAGTGACGGGTAGGTTTAGGGGCGGGGTTAGGGGTAGGCCATCGTCTCTGATTGGTCTTAACCCAGTGAGGGGTAGGTTTAGGGGCGGGGTTAGGGGTAGGTCATCGTCCCTGATTGGTCTTAACCCCAGTGAGGGGTAGGTTTAGGGGCGGGGTTAGGGGTAGGCCATCGTCCCTGATTGGTCTTAACCCCAGTGAGGGGTAGGTTTAGGGGCGGGGTTAGGGGTAGGCAATCGTGGGGTCCGGATAACAGGAAAGTACCCCCAAAGAACATATTTATTAATTTTAACTTTATTTTAGCTTAATCTGATTCCATAACATTTTCTGAAAGTACACATTTTTACAAGTTTTTGTTATGACATCATCAGCAGAGAGATTCACTCTAAAATTGTACATGGTGGGACGTCATTGTTTGTTTCAGTGCCGGTCCTAGACTTCTTGGGATTGCGCTCTCATGCCCTGTTTAGAAAATCTGGCCCTATAAATGATGAAGTAAATAATACTGAAAATGTTTGTATTCTCTGTGGCAGGCCGAGGATGAGGATCCGGACAGGGGGCAGCCATGTATGCGCTGTGGAGATCAGTGTCCTGGCTTCCGCATGCACGGATGGAGGTAAGACAGGAGCGCTAAAACTGCTCCAAACTAGACCCTTCCTTCCTTTTTACTGGCAGTTTTATTCACATGAAAATGATGAGTGCCAGATTCTAATGAACACATTTGTTATGAGCGCAACAGCTCAATCATCGTGTATACTAACCACCAGGCCACAGATCCCACCCTTGACTTGCTCTCGAAGGACATTCGTCCCAGGCCTGACAATCTGCAGACGGAAACATAACATCCTCAGACATAACACCTCGGATTGTTGTTTTAGTTATGCATTTGTTTTGAAATTAAGTTCCTAGAGGAATAGGAAAGCATGGAAGACAGTGCTGATTAACTGCAGTCTGTCAGGAAAAGATTCGTGTGCGCGTTGTGTGAGACCTGGGATTCTTGTGTGTAACGCAAGACGTCTAATCATATTTCCAGAGCAGTAATGAGAGCCGCACAGTGTTTACACTAACCACTCTTCACTGTACACCATTAGACAAGCCATCTCCGCTCTCATATGTTATCGTCATCTGCATGATCCTTGATTTTTGCTCCTGGGATTAAGTTTATGAGGCAGCCAACATTATCCACACTTCAAATATATTCCATATTCAGATAAGTCCCATAATGTGGAGTCCCGTTGACCAGTAAATGCAATATTTCTGAAGTCATGGCTACTATATATATATATGAAGAGTTCAGATGCAAATGCCATTTGAATTTTTCTTCTTTAATGATGATTTTTATCAAACTTGTATATTTAAGTTCAGTAATTTCACTTAAATAACAATTAATAGGTAATTATCATTGCCATTTAAGTGAAATCACTGAACTTAAATATACAAGCTTGATAAAAATGATCATTCTAGAAGAAAATTTCAAATGGCATTTAGAGGCTTTTGCATCTGAACTCTTCATATATATATATATATATATATATATATATCTCAGAGCCAGTTCAGAGCTGTAGATTATGTTAATCCATCAGATTAATTTTAGATGTCAGAAATAAGAATCCAAAGGGTGGTTTGTGACGTTAATACATGCCAGCTGTTGATCTTTTTTTTCTGTGTTTTCTCAACAAAAAAAACAATCGCAAATATACCATGCTGTAGTTTAGCTGTGTTTGATGTCTGTTTTTTCAGAAAGCAGATGAATTGACTGATTGATAGTTTGATTATGGCAATTACTTTTTGTTGTGCACCAATTTACCACTGTAAAAATCCCTAAAGAATTGCCCAAATAGCACTTTTATCTTGTCGTGGAGTCTAGAAAAGATGTTTAAGTCCCTCCCCTTCCGGTCGACCACCATGGGACCTTATTTCGTAAAAATATTGTATGGTAGTCAATGGCGAAAGACAACAAATATTATGATCTCGTTTGAATTGCGCCCTGAATTACACATATGATGTTTGTCAATTTAAAAGATACATTTTAAAGTAAAGAAAGTCACAGTTTGATATAAAACCGTTGAGGTGTAAGACTGTGAAAATACGTAATTACAAAGACTACAAACCCCAAAGGTGCACATTTACTCTCAATGAATGAAGCTAACTTTACTGAGGCCCCGTCCACACTACTGCGTTTTCGTTTAAAAACGGAGAATTAAAACGAATACGATCTCCATCCACACCACCGTTTTATCTGCGTAAAAGAATTAATCTCCGTCCACATTAAAACGACTGAAAACGTGGATCACGTGACCATTCACCAACACTGGGCGTGCCGGTGTAAACAATGGCTGACGAATCAGGGAAGGACACGTCATGACCAATTACACCCAATCATAGAGCCGAGCGTCAGGCTCCTCCGTTTTATTCCGTCTTCACTAAAGTGCCCTCCGGAGATTCAAAATGCAAAACGGATCTGCAACGTTTTTTCCGGTTAAGTGTAGATGGGAGGTGCAAATGTAGCAAAAGGTCTCCATTTTTAAACGAAAACGCAGTAGTGTGGACGGGGCCTGAGGCTAATGTCTGTCATTGTTTCTATAGTCTTACGTTATAATCGTAACTTTACGCCGTGTTTGTACCAGACTGCACACACACACACGAGCAGCGGATCTTGCTCGTTGTTTCGCTTCCCGGGAGATTTTCACATAAAACTAAATGTTACTCTTCTGTTTTATGACAAACTGCGCCGTTTTTGACTTTCAGAATTATCTTTTAAGTTGACAAACATCATATGTGTAATTCAGGGCACAGTTCAGACGGAATAAAAACATAAGTTGTCTCTCGCCATTGACTACCACACATATTTAATAACCAAAATAAGGTCCACTGAGCCGGAAGCGGAGGGGCGGGACTTAGGCTCTCTATTGGTCACATGACCAACCGAATACCAGATGCTTTTGTGATGGGCATCAGAAAATGGCATCTGTTTTTGGAAGCTTTTGCTTTTGTGTGATGATACATCCACACATCAGTATGCAGGCCAACACTGTATCGGCGTGCACAACATAAAATATAACAAAACAGTTCTTGCACACCTTTAATATGTATTTGACTGAAAGTACTGTAGTCAACATTTGAAGTGGATCAAAAATGTTTATCAAAAGACAAGAATGGGTATTATTCGAAATTCATGTATAATTTTGATGAAAGGTTTTGATCCACTTCAAATGTTGACTACTACAAACATTTGTCCTCACAGTCAGGTCAGATTTGGACCATGTTTTAAAACACACACACATACACACACACACACACACACACACATACTCGTATGCTTCAGAAACACTTACCTTCAACTGCCAGCGGGTGTGTGGAGAAGCCAGACAATGACCTGGAACGAATGCAAAAGGACATGAAGCATTCCAGTGAGTTCAAGTGTATGTGTGTGTGTGTGTGTGTGTGTGTGTGTGTGTGTCACATAGCTGTATGTTGGGGGAAAATTGTCTTTAGAAGTTAGATAAAATCTTCAAAGTTGAATGATTAATGATTTAAGTAAATAATAGCTCAAACTATTTAAAATAGTTTTAAGCAATTGAAATAAATGTATTAAAATAAACTTAAAAAATGTTGCCTTGGCAACTTCAACTTGAAGTAAATACTAAAACTGAAATACAAATTAAATTAAAGCGAAATAAATATTTAAACGAAAAATGACAAAGGTAAATTAAAAAACAATGAAACCTAAAATATATAAAAATAAAAGACAATTAAAAACCCATGAAAGCTTGATATAGTGTGCAGAAATATAGACAGATCTAGTTACAGTTTCAGATGCAAAAAATAGATTTTTGCAGGATTGCCTAATGAATAATTAATTTCTGATGGAATTTGGTTGTGCATCAATGAACTACTAAAGTAATTTGGGGCTTAAAAATCAGATTATTTTTTATCAAACTGCGTGTCTTATGTGGTAATGATCATTCTTTGTACTAAAGTCATACTGCAGTTTCATGTAACACACACACAAACACACACTTAAAAAGAACAACATTCATTTGAAATAGATTTTTTTGTGACAATGTAAAAGTCTTTACTGCTTTATCTATATTTTTGATTTCTTTTTACTTCAAATAATAACTGACCCATATATATTCACACACACACACATGCATTTTTTTGCTATATTTTTAATTGTAGTATTTTTTTCATATAGGTATATCAAATAAAATGGTATTTATAGGGATCTTTTTAGCCTCTTCAGCCTCTTTTTAAGGGATGTATCAGGGTCCTTCTGCTGTAAATGAATATGCGCATGACTTCTTTTCTCACTTTAAATTAGTGGGACAGCACTAGCTTTTGGCATTGTTGGTGTATTTAACTCCCCAGTGTGTGTGTGTGTGTGTCTGCTCTGTGTAAATGAACAGAGCAGAAAGTCCCCATAAATCTTCTTACTGCACTCTTCACTCTCATGCCTGCGCTTCTGTCCAGAGTCATACATCAACATTAGTCCAAATCTAATCTGTTGCCCATTCAAGTGAATCACTATTCAAATGCTACAATATAATCCAGAGCACAGAAACAATCACGTCTAGATCTGCACTACATCATTTTAATCTGACAATGTGTTGCTTTAATCCACTGTTTCCCAACCTTTTTTTTTTTGTCACAGCACAGTTTTGATATGTCAAAAATCCCACTGCACACCACTAACCACTAAAGTACGAAAACTGCACAAACATGCATTGCTACAAATGTCATATTAAAAGTATATATATTACTCGCATTCAATGTGAAACTTGAACTTGAATCAAATATGAACACAATAAGGTCATACAGTTAGTAAAACAAATTTACACATCGTCTCTGTCGGGTGGAAACCTCATGTTTTGTTTTTTTTTAATAATAATTAAACAGTGTCATCAAAGTTGGTAATGTGGCTTTAAAATTGGTCAGACATGCATGTGTCATTATAATTATAACATTTGATGAGAATCAAGCTCAAATGGAGTTACAGAAGTATATGTGTAGTGTATATAAAGTTTATCATACACTGTCAGAAAAAAAGGTACGAAAGCTGTCACAAAAACTTTTGTACCTAAAGGGTGCATATTGGTACCATAATTGTACAAATATGTACCATGAAGGTACCAATATGCACCCTTTAGGTACAAAAGTGTACCTTTTGAAAAAGGTACCGCCCCAGTGACAGCTTTCGTACCTTTTTTTCTGAGAGTGTAGCTATGTGTGCGTTTTTAAATCTCATGACATAAAAGATGAAGTGCTAGCCTATAAGGAAAGCGCTATATGCACAGGATATTTAAAACAGTATATTGGCTACAACTAGACTCTTCTCCTCTCTTCAAATACAAAAAAACATTAGCTTTTATTGGCACAGGCCCCTATTTTAACAATCTAAGCGCAAAGTCTAAAGCTTACGGCGCTAGTACGCTTAGGACATGTCTGAATCCACTTTTGCTAGTTTGACCACGGGAAAAATGGTCGGCACTCCCGGCGTATCCTGTAAACTCTTAATGAGTAATGGGTGTGTTTTGGGTGTAACGTGCAATAAACCAATCAGAGGCTCATCTCCCATTCCCTTTAAAGACAGTCGTGCTCGCCCATGGCGGATTCGCTATTTACATGGCGGTATTTGCCAGCGGAAAGACTGAACGCTTCTCTAGCGAGGAAACGGATCTGCTCGTGCGCGAGGTTAAAGCATAGCAGATGTACGTACAGTATATAGTAGGGTTGCAACGGTATGAGATTTTCACGGTATGATAATCGTCTCAGAAAATATCACGGTTTCGCGGTTTCACGGTATACGATATTAAAACTATCATTATTATAATCAGCATCAGCTACAATGGCCCTTAAATGAATAAAAACAGATATTGTTTTTGGTTGAACATGGTTTATTGTAACAAAGGTTTTTTCAATAGAGTCTTTATGAAATGTATATTTATTTCCTCAGAAATTCTGGGTTGTCTGAAATAACTGATCTGGATTCTGTGATTGAATACAAAATGTATTTTTGAGAATGCAATCAGATAAAATGTAACAACTTTAGTTTGTCTACACAAGAGAAGTTTAATAAATTAAAACATGGACAAAAAAACTATACACAATAGTAATATATTTTAATCATAGGCTAAACCAAACTTTTTTTTTCCAGGTTGTAGGGGAGAGCGGGGCACAACCTAACGCTTTTTGCTTTTGGCTCAATTAATTAAAAAATAATTAGGTTAGATTAATAGTTTTTTTTACACAAGCAACATGCACACCTCTGCTACAAATGAACACTTAAAGTTTTTTTCTATGACCTACTATTTTCGTACAGTTGGACTGAAAGTGACAGAAGTGCAAATGTTACAACTTACCCCATATGCGGGGTTAATTGTAACAGAGAGAGGGGTTAGTTGTAACACTTGTGTGTAACACACATAATTCAGTACTATTTTATTTGTATAGTTTGATATTGTTTGTGCATCTGTATAGACAGATATCCATACATATCCCTCATCCAATCCTCCTTCTATTATGGATCAATATCATGGATAGAGACATAGAAAAGGGCTGCATAGTTTTGCAATAAATAATAATAAATAAAATTATAAATATTGTAATTGCAATTAAATTAGATTTGTGTGTGGCAGCTGCATGATGTACAATTATTATTATTATTAATAATAACAGTAATGATAATACAAATTAGCTTAAAATAAAAATTTAAAGGGTTTATTGCATTAATAACAGGCCATATTTTTAATAAATAAACAAGTTATCATTCATAGAACACTAAATTTTAAACAATTTAAATCCCAACATTGTTTGTGAACGTCTAACAAAGTTAAATGTATACTCAAACCTGAAAAGTTGTGTGGCTCCGTTTTCATTTGATTATCATTGTACACTTGGAGGCTTAGTTGTACCACTCTGTTAGAATTAACCCCCGCTGTGTATTACATATTTTAAACCTAGCTAACAGTCGCTAGGAATTGCTGACATGTTTCAAAACGGTGCTATGTTTGAGCCAACAAGACGGTGATTAAGGCAATATAAAGTTAGATTTGGAAACGTATACACCCAACTCAGAAACCGAAAAAAACCTATGATGAAAAAAATTACTTACATGGTGTCAAAACACTCTTTGTCCAGTATCTTCACGAAATATAATCAAAACTTTCCGCAAATTCGCGGGAGACCGTCTTCTGGCAGCAAGAGAAAAATAGCGGAAAGACAGCCGGCTTGATCCTGACGAACTGTGTAAACGGTCCGTGTTACATTTAACCCCGCGTTAACACCTACTGAACACCTATGAGTTTCACTCAGTGTATTTGATGATTATTCTTTAAAAAAAATAATTATAAAGTGCACATTAAGTGTTCTCTGTCTAGATATGTCCATGTGTTCACGTCTTCGTAGTGGCTGAGACAGCTTTAAAAACCATGAGCGTCATGCGTACTTGAGTACTAGATCTACTAACTAGACGAAACGGCGCTGCTCATTCAGAGACACGCTGAAGGGGCTTGCACACCAGTCTTTTTGCGTTGTATATTCACAGACACGCACATCGCGATTTGATTTAGGCTACTGCATAGCTATATTTTGCTTTATTTATCCATCTATCTTTTTAAATCGCACATTTTACGTGGCATCTGTTTTGTAACGCAAAAAGACGCATGCGTGCGTCTTTTTGACAGACCGGGATTCCCTCAGCATGACAGAAATAATATGGCCTTAAGTTATAAAAGTTATGAATAACCTTTATCTTCACGGAGGGATGGTGTTCCTAAATATGGGAGAACATGTTCGACGTGTTTACTCCTTTTGCAGCCACTCTTCATCTTGCAAACTGGATATCCATCTTCAAGGACAACATCACGATCGTTTTTCGGATATAAGTTACAAAATATTCCCATACTGCAGATTTTATTTTATTTTTTTGGCGGGAGATAGAGATTCGCAGCCTCTGTCTCGGACATTTTCAGCGCTGTATGGATATGGAGTAAGCAGTCAAGCTGAAAGAAGTTGCATGCGGCAGTGCAGGTGAATTCTGTTTTTTTTTTTTTTTTTTTTTTTTTTTTTTTTTTTTACCGCGGATAAGCAAATGTGCACGATATGATAATCGTACATGTCAATATCGCGATAAACCGGCATACCGGTATACCGTTACAACCCTAGTATATAGCAGACCATCGACGGGACAAAGTGTATGCGCGTTGTGGACCTGCCTATAGGCGCATATTACTAACCCGCTCTTTAAATAACTAAAGAAATATTGCGCCATTGACTTTAGAGAAGGTTTCAGTCGGTCAATGGCGCAGTCTGTTTCAGTACCTGAAATAGCAAAACACACTTGGGTGTATGATAGGGCCCATAGTGTTTCTTGAT